AACAACAACAACAACAACAACATGATTTAGGAGCTCTGGTGGCATAGTGCCTAAGGGATCTGACTGCTAACCAGAAGGCTGGTGGTTCAAACCCACCAGCCACTCCCCAGAAGGAAGTTTGGGCAATCTACTTCCATAGTGATACCACTTCAGAAACCCAAGGAGAGGTCGCTATGAGTCGGATCCAACTCCGTGGCAGTGATTGTGTTGTATATATATAATACTGTATGAATTAAGGACTCCTGGATGGTACAGACATGTGGCACTCAACTACTAACTGAAAGACTGGTGGCTTGAATCCACACAGCAGTGCCATGGAAGAAAGGCCTGGAGATCTACTTCCATTTGATTACGGCCACTGAAAACCCCAGGAAGCACAGTTCTACTCTGAAACATGTGGGACTGCCACAACTGACTCGATGGCAGCAGGGTTGGGTTTTCTCTGGGTTGATGTATTATATAGGGATAATTTAATATCTCTATTTTATAAATGCAGTTATGGAGGGACAGGCAATTTAATTTTTGTTTTTTCTAAATCACTAATATCTGGTAGGAAGATTCAGGTCTTTGACATCAGCAAGGAGCAACTTTAAGAAATAGCCAAAACTGTTGGATGAATTAATATTGGTATTGACAAGAATAAAATAATAACTTGTAGAAACATTCTCCAGTCTCCAGATGAACATTGCTGAAGAATTCTGATAGAGGTGAACTCATTCATTTACTCAGTTTTGTATGTGTGTGTGTGTGTTTGGGGGGGGAGCGAAGCACGCTCTAGCTGATTCCCCCAGCTGAGCCCATCAATATGCAGTGGGAGAAGGGCCACACAAAAGCAACTCTATATTCAAGGCAACGGCCCATAAAAATTGACCCCCTTTTGCTCTCTGGCACAGAAAACTATTGTTTCAAACGGTTACCTGGGCACTGAACAAATGCAAGGTTCTTTTGTGAGAGCCATCTGGCTTTGCATATACAAGCTGAGATGTGATTAGAGGTCAAGTTCCTTGATATTCACAACAGAATGTCAACTCTGCAGCCTCTAACAACCGACCCCAAATATCTACAGGGCAAATTCTCTTTCACAAAGCACAGGCTTACACCGTTGGCTCTTCAAGTCCTAGTAAAATCTCACTGGAGACATACCAGCAGGAGGCTAACGCTGTGTCCCTTTAGATGTGCAAAGTTTTCTTGGTGAAATTAGATAAGGAATAAACGTGCTTATTTCTCATATAATATATTAGAATGAGAGATACTTAGACATGTGGTAGGTTAGAAAAAGAATCTTCTATAGAATTTTGTGCAGACAGACAGCAAACAAATAAGGTTTAATCATGTGATGGTAGAGGCTTCCCCTTCTGAAGGCAGGGTATATCACATTTGAGTTGCTCTTAAGGAAACAGTGACAATCTATTCACCACAACATGGTCACCTCTATTTCTACTCCCTATCGAAACATATAAATATATGAGATAAATTCTTCTTCAAATTCAATACTAGGAAAGAATCTCTGTAGACACTTGTATGCTTCCTTTTTTCAAATATCAAAAATCCCTGAACATGTCCTTGCAATTGGACTGGCAGGAAGCCTAGAGTTGAATTTATTGCTTAAATGCAAAACCGATTTAGGTTCTTGATACATATCTCTTCCCTTTAAACAGTTCCCTTACTCCCTCTGGCTTTTAATCTCTATCTTACTATGGTAGTTAAGTTTGTATGTCAACTTGGCTGGGCCTGGTTAAGTGTGTGGGCAGCTGGATGCAGTATTCCCCATGATGAGACTGATAATCAACTCCATAGGTGGAATCTACTGTGAGCAGCTGAGTAGCTGCCTTAGGGAATGTGGACTGCTTCCTGTATACAAGGAGAAGCCTTGGGGAATGGTCTCTAGCTTATGGCACGCTTGAATCCTGCATGTAGCCGAGTCGTTGTTCAGCATTCTGCCATGCTTTGCCAACCTTGGGACTTTTGATGGACTTGAATTAATGGCCTGCCGTGTGGATTGGTAACGTCGGGACTGTGCCTTTTTACTTGTCAACCTTGGGCTTGTCAGCCTCAGCAGCTGAGTAAAGAAAAAAAAGTCTCCAGCTTCAGTGGGCCGGGAGCAGAACACAGAGCTAAAGCCCAAGGTTGAGGGGCTTTCACCCAGCCCCTAAAGCCTGGCACTTTGAACTCAGTCTTAAAGCCTCCAAACTGCAAGAGAATAAACTCCTGTTTCTTCAAGCCATCCCATTTGTGGTACATTCTTGTCAGAGCAGCATTAGGTAACCAGAACACTTACAATTCTCATTTGCATGTTTGGCTTGCGTGTGAAATAGATAAACAAGATCTGAGTTCTCTGTGGGACTGGATGCTACACAAAGGAGAAAGTGCTGGCCATGACCGCCCTTACCTTGTGAATTTCTCGGTGCACATGGATGGTATTATTTCCAACCTTGGTGTCTGTGTTGGTCTCGTTGTGGTAGCTGGGAGGCAAGTTTTCCAGATTCACTTCTGATGATGTTTTAGCAGCCGCTTCTTCTGCCTCCATCTATTAAATCAATTAATTTAATGAGTAAAATTGTTCTCTTGTTACAAATCAGAGTGCATGAGGAAAAAGCCTCTCGTTTTCCTCTTCTGCAAATACTAATAATGGTGATAATGATAAGTACTCTTAATTGAGTACTCACTAGGCATAAGACACGGTACTAAATGTTTTACATATATTACCCATTGCTGTCAAGTTGATTCTGACTCATAGCAACCCTATAGGACAGAGTAGAAGTGTCCTATAGGATTTCCAAGACTGCAATCTTTATGGAAGCAGACTGCCACATCTTTCTCCTGCAGAGCAGCTGGTGGGTTCAAACCCCCAACTTTTCAGTTAGTAGCCAAGTGCTTATACACTGCACCACCAGATCTCCTTTACATATCTTACAGCCCTTACATCTTATAGCATCCCTACGAGGTGGGCGTTAATGTCTCCACTTCACAAATGGGAACACTTAGGCTTAGGGAGGACAGAAAATTTTCCAAGACACCCAGTGAGGAAGGGCATGTGGAGCTGGGATTTAAATGTTTCCATAGAACAGTTTTGGTCCCTTTACAGAAGCTGTCAGTACCCCATCCATCGAGTTGATTTTGACTCATACTGATACCATAGGACCACATAGGGCAGAGTATAACTGCTCCATAGGGTTTTCAAGGCTGTAAATTACAGAAGCAGACTGCCACATCTTTTTTACCATGGAGCAGCTGGTGGGATTGAACCACCAATCTTTTGGTTAGCAGCCAAGCTCTTAACCACTGGGCCAGGAGGGCTTCTTCCCTGTAGCCTACCTGTGCTCAATCCCCTTACATGTGAACAAGCAACTTTTTCTCTCTGAGGGCATTCTCAGATGTCTGCTCAGTCTGCACTGAGCCCCAAATACTAGGGAGTTAACCCCCTAGGAATGAACCTCAGCCACTGAGGGACAGGCTACCCCAGCTTCCTCTGGGGAAATAGACTCCACAAGTCTCTCTCTGGCAAACCCCACTGGGATTAAACCCTAGCTGCCCATAGTAGTAATCCACTAATTATCACATCCTTTATTGCCTTTCTTCTCTTACCTATCTCATTTCCCCACTTTTTTATAGTGTTTCCTGGGACCATCTGCTAAATAAATAATTTGCTCCCAAATCCTTGTTTCAGAGTCTGGTAGGAGCCCAAACTAAGACAGCCTCTTACACCTTTCAGGTAGCGCCACAGACATGTGTCCTTCCTCACCTCACCCTCTGCTGAGGGATCCTTGTAGAGGATCAGCTGACTGGCTCCTAGCGCCATACATTTTCTGGCTCTTCTCATACATGTCCTTCTGTGGCATCAGGGTTCCAAGACTACTGTCCTCAAGTGCAGTCTCATGAACTCCATGATATCTACACCAGATCTATCAGTCAACTTGCCTATTGTACCCAACTTACCCTTCCAGATTTATTGCCCTGCCCCAGACATGATGAACAGGCAGTAGGCAGCATGACCCACCCTTGTTCACAGCTGACTGGACCCAAATGGAAGCCACATCATGGACTAGTTGAACTAATCAGACACTCTCCCTAAGTATTAAAGATGAGAGACACTAAAGTTCTACATGGGAGTTGGCAGTTTTCCAATACTGCTATCTGTGTTATCCTTGGCTCTAGGTTATTTTTATTCCTGAAAACTAATCCTCAAAAATAATATTTTCTTATTAAACAAAATCTTTTGCTCCTTATGAGCCCCTCTTTCCTGCCTTCACCAACCAGCTCTGCCGACCTGGGGTGTTTATGGAAAAAGAATTCCCATGTCTCAGTGCAACACAAAAGCACTGTTCAGTTGTAGTAGGCACAAAGGCTTAGGCAGCTCTGGCCATCAGGGGCTGGCCTTTACAAACACAAAGGTAGATAATCAAAGACTTGGCCAGTGTCTGCTGTTTGCCCAATGTTGTGTTTGAGATGATTGCTGAGATGTTTGAAATTTTATCACTGGTTATTATAATAATAATAGCCCCCATATTTGGGGCCTCTGCTGTGGCTAAGCCATTGCACCAGATACTTTCCATGGGTCGTTGAATATTTACAGTAACCCTATGAGGAAGGTGTTATTGCTCCCATTTTTCAAATGAATAAAATGAGGCTGAGAAAAGCAAAGGACTCTACCTAAGGTCATCATACTGTTAGTAAGTGGCAAAGCTTTAATTAGATCTCAGATTAGTCTCACTCCAAATCAAGGACTTTTCCCAAAAGATGATTCTGTCCTTCTTGAGTAGTTAATGCTTTTACTGGGGAGATAAGAAAGTCCCATATAAGCCAATTAGAGTGTGATTATGACCTACCTTGTGTGACAGTTTCCAGAAACAAGACAGTTTCAAAGGAGAACAAAGGTGGTAGGAGATGGAGGCAAGACTGGGCTAGTCTCAAAGGATAAGTAGGATTTGGACAGAGGGCAGTGTAGAAGACACTCCAGGCAGCACAAGCAAAGCTGTGGTGGCTTGGACAAGAATGGTGTGTCCTTCTGGGCTTGAGCAGAGAGTCCATGCTGGGCACAGAATAACGTGGTGAAGTAGGCAGGGGCCAATGGGAAGATCAAAGGGGCAGCTCTGAAGCTTGGTTCTCAACCAGGAGCACACATCAGAGTCATCCCCAAAACCTTTTGTATTATAGATGACTGGATCCATTCCCAGACCTATCAAATTGGAATTTCTCGAGATGGGACCCCAGCTATTAATGCCACTCAGGGAATGTCCACAAACAACCACAAAAATGCTACAAGTATTGATTTTGGGGTTGCAAGTAAATTTTAGTGAGTAGGCAAACTTGCAAATACAAAATCTACAAATGAAGGCTGACTGTAATACATAGTTGTTTTCATAATACTGCTCTTTAAAAAAGCAAGAAGTCCTTGTGGTGCAATTTTTAAGTGCTTAGCTGCGAACCCAAAGTTTGACACTTTGAACCCACCCAGAAGCTCTGTGGGTGAAAGACCTAGTAATCTGCTCCCATAAAGATTACAGCCTAGAAAACTCTATGGGGGAAATTCTACTGTCACATGGCATCACTAGGGCTTGAAATCAACTTGATGGCACATAACAGTAACAAGAAGAAAGCAGTTTAGAAGCAGCCAGGATGCCAGAATTTATAAAGTAAATGAGTGGGTAGAAGTGGAAAGAAAAGGCAATCAACATCACATGTCTGAAGAGTTTGTCAACAAAAGGAAAAAGAAATGGAATAGAATTAAGAAAGGAGACAGGACCAGCAAGACAAGGACTTTTATTTTTAAGCCAAGAGACTCAGGCATGTTAAGTGATAGAAAATATACATCTGGAAGAGTAAGAGACTGAAGATGTTAGAGGTATGTCCAGAAGGAGAAGAGAATGTTTTAATATTTTAAAATTCCCATTGGAATCTGAATCGTCCAGTTTGACTTTCAAATAATTGAAAAGTTACCAAAGTTAGAGTCAGCTTTGTGCTGAGTAGATCATCTTTCTATAAAACATTTACCCCCTCTCAGCCAGTGCTTATTTCAGCCGAATGAGCTAACAGTTCTTTAATGGAACCACGAACTAAAACTACAATTTAGAATGGAAATTTCAACCACAACTGTACTGCCACTAGCAAGAGAAACTTAAACATGAAGCAATGAGCTGTTCCACAGAGGAGGAATGTGAATGCTATTAAAAATGGCATTTATATTTGGTCGAATCTGTGTGTCTGTTGAAGGGGTATGATAGGAAAAATTGGAGCGATAATTCCAGGATCGGTATTAGGGTTCTTGCTGGGAATAGGGGAGGCAATAAAACCATTCTAAAATATGCCAGTTACAGATGTGGCAATGAGGGTAGGGAAAGTGGAGTAGTTTTATCCTCAAAATAAATTTATCAGTAACAGGAAGAATAAAAGCAGGAAAATAAGAACATCCTGCATTGAAGTCATTTGAAGATTTGCTTCTTCCAATAATGAGGCTCCAAGTTACCTTGTCTTTCCCTTTAAAAGACATCAACAGCTTGAGTCAGATGGAACATTTTAAATGCCAGGAAGTTACTTGAAAGCAGATTCATGATGCAACTATGTAAACAATTAATGCATCTGGCCCAGTTCTTTACTGGTTCTTTATCTCACCCTGGACAACAACTGAGTAGGAACTATCCTTTTGCCTTTAAAGGGCTTTCTGGAAGTCTCTTTTGAAAGTCTAATATTAATAGCATAATCTATTGAGAATCTACTAAATATCAGACACAGGTGGTACTTTATACTCCTCCTACTACTCTTAATAAAATGATAATGATAACTATTATTTATGGGGAACCAACGATCTCCCAGAATGCTTACAACCTTGTGAGGGATCTACTTGTATTAAACCTAGTTTATTTAATCCCATTTTAGACAGTGAAGTAACTTGTTTTACTCGTATCCTCTCATTTAATTTTCCTCTTTACCCCAAGGAATAGACATTTGCTCCATTTCAGGCCCTGGGACTCACTGCTGGTCTGTGGCAGAGCTGGGAATCGAAGGAAGGTAGGCTGGTGCCTGTTATGGATTGAATAAAAAACCAAACAAACCCACTGGCGTCGAGTCGGAGCCGACTCATAGCAAGCCCTCCTTGGGTTTCCGAGGCAGTATCTCTGTGGAAGTAGAATGCCCAACCTTCCTTCTAAGGAGTGGCTGGTGGGTTTGAACCGCCAGCCTTCTGGTTAGCAGTCAAACACCTTAGGCACTATTCCACCAGAGCTCCTGTGGATTGAATAGTATCTCCCAAAAAGATATGTTAAAGTCCTAATTTCTGGTACCTGTAAATGTGACTTTGTTGGAAACAGCATCTATGGAGATGTTATCAATTAAGAAGAGGTCATACTGCAGTAGGATGGATCTTAATCCAACCTGAGTCTCATTGCCATCCAGTCAATTTGTACTCAAGTGACTCTATACCAAACACACTGCCATCAAGTTGATTCCAACTCATAGCAACCCTATGAACAGAACTGCTCCATAGGGTTTCCAAGGTTGTAAAGCAGACTGCCTCATCTTTCTCCTGCAAAGCAGCCACTAACTAACCTTTTAGTGAGCAGCTGAATGTTTTAACCCCTACTGCCCTATAAGATTTCCAAGTCTATAATCTTTATGGAAGCAGACTGCCATATCTTTCTCCCATGGAGTGCTGGTGGGTCTGAACCACTGACCTTCAGTTAGGAGCTGAAAGCTGATGAAAGAGAAGACACACAGAGACAAAGGCAGAGGGAGAACGGCCTTGTGACCACTGCTGTGCAGCAGCTGCAAGACAAGGAATGCCACAGCCCTGCTGACAACCTCTCCAAAAGCCGGGAGAGACAGGAAAGGAGCTTCCCTGGAGCCTTCAAGAGAACACGGCCCTGCTGACAACCTGAAGTTGAACTCCTAGCCTCCAGAGCTGTAAGACAATACATTTTGGTTCTTATAAACCACCTAATTTGGAGGACTTTGTTATGGTAGGCCTAGGAAATAAATACAGTCCCCATGGCCTGTTCTCCTGCCAGGCAACTGTTCCCCCTCTCTCACCCTATCCGCACTGCCAATGGACGCTCATCTGGGAAATGACCACTAAATACGACAGATGTCCGCCAGCCAGCATCCCCTCTGCCTACAAACAGCAGCCTGCCAATCTGCACAACTCAAGCAGAGCCACTGCTGGACAGAGGAAGGCTGGGTTCTGGCAAGGCTCAATGTGGGTAACTCTCACAGAGAAGGCACCACCGCTAAGTGCCACTGGGTCCCAAACTGCTCTCATCAGTGAAAAGGCCCTTGCTGCTCCTTCACCTCCTCAGTCAGGAGCCACTTTCAGAGGTCCGCTCAGCAAACTTTCTGAACAGTGAGGAGCACTTGCACATGGAGGTAACCAGTTACTCTTATTGGGAATCTATATGCAGAAGGGAAAGCCCTGGAACCCGGATAAGGAGAGAAGATAACATGCCCTGGAACCAGAGGCATCATGAGCTCAATTTAATTTGAAGCTGCAAGGTGAAGAGGTATTGGGGACTGACACTTCTTATCCTTTAACTGCTCCATGTTCTGTTTTTATCACAGGAAACAGAAAGCCCAAGGGTCTTGGAATCTGGGCCTGTCCAGTGTATGTCTCAGGAACAGCTTCTCACATCACTGCCTCCTAATCTAATGTCCACTTTACTGCAAATGTTATCAGGTTGATTCTAGTGTGGGTGGGAGGGTAGAGAGGAAATATCCCCAAGTTATATAGGTTTTGGGGGGAGAAAGCAATCTCTCCCAGGTGGACACAAGCCAGCATTTAATGCTTTGTCTGAGGCACTCTCAGCCAAACAAGGCTTCCATGCTGCAGCCTGAACACGTGTTCACATGTTGGAGAACACTGACATGTGGTCTCTTGCTGACTCCTTCACAGAGATGACTGGTTCCCCTCCAAACACAGGCTGCAGCCAAGTGATAACCATGACCACCTCCCCCAATCACCAGGGACAGTTCCAATACCAAGGCGGGGAGGCCTGGGCCAGCTGCACCTCCTGTCCAAACACCCTGATGATGTTTGGATACTCACTATAAAGGGCAGAGCAGGGCTCCAAACCACATTTGCATCTGGAAGGCAATGGAAAGAACATCTCTGCTGAGATATGTGGTATCTGACAATAATAGCTGCTATTTATTAACAGGTTGGACCTTTGAACCACCAAGCAGCACCACAAAAGAAAGGCCTGGCAATCTGTTTCTATAAAGATTACAGGCAAGAAAAGCCCTACGGAGCAGTTCTGTCCTGTAACCTAACACCTCGACTTCATGGCAAAGTTTTGTTTTTTTTTTTTAAATATACTGAACACCTATTATATACACCAGGTGCCTACACTTGTATCATAGCATTTAATTCTCATAGGACACTGATGTATGGAACACTAAGAGACATGTACAGCGTCACAGACAAAAAAACCAAATCCACTGCCATCGAGTCAATTTTGACTCATAGCAACCCCCATTGACTTTCCAAGCCTGTAAATCTGTGCAGAAATAGATTGCCTCATTCTCCTCCCTTTGAGCAGCTGGTGGGTTTGAAATACTGACCTGGTTAGCAGCCAAATGCCTTACCCGCTGTGCCACCAGAGTTCCTCAGTGTCAGAGCAGGAGCTTAAGCCAGGGTCTGACTCCTGTGGGCTCAGGCACGTCTCTGATATCACCCCCTCCTCTCATTCTTTTTTCATTACTTGGCTGGGATTTAGGGATTCATTTCCCTTCTCTGCCCTCATGTGCAATTTTGGAAGGCAAGATAGCCCAGGTAGGAGAGTGCCAACAAAGCTCGTGGCTTTTTGTCTCTTTGTCAGCAAATGGCACCCTAAAAGTATATTGGGAAGATGCCATAAGATCAAGGCCCAGCAGACAAGCTAGAACTTGGGGACCGCTAGGAGCTTCTTCAACCTGTCTCCAAGCCACAGCGCCAGACTACCCGCTTGCAATAGGGAGGCCGGTTGCATACTCGTTGGAAGACAATTGTGGGTGGTGGTGGGCAGTCTGCAGGCAGGTGGTGGACCCAGCCTGCTCAAGAGAGGATCCTGCCAGAGACACACTGCGGACAGGCTCAGTAGACCTTCTGGCAGGAAGGCAAAACGAGGTGGGATTTGGGATCCCCCAGCATTACCTCCAGGTCACTCTGCGTCTGCCGCGGGCCCTTCCTAGCCCGTCGCAGGACGCGAGGTCGCTGGCCTCCTGCCAGTAGCTCTCTTCCCCCAGCCTCGCGCTTCCCCGAGTCAGGCGCCCTCGGGGTGCACCCACCTCCTCCACCGCGCTGCGTAGCTTGTGCTGCGTGTCCTCCATCAGTTCCTCCACTTCACGGAACATCTCGTTGAGGGTGGCCTCCTCCTGTGGGTAGCTGAGAGCCGGGCCGGATTCACGCGGAACCGAGGTCGTAGTCGGAGCCGGCGCAGGAGTCGTGGGGACTGCCGCCGCCAGCAGCAGGCACAGCAGGGGGCCCCCGAGCTTCGGCATCTTGGCTCTGCGCGGGCCGCAGCCGCCTGTGTGTCCCCGAGCGCGGTCAGAGGCGCGCGCACCAGCCCCTCGACCGTCCCGCCGCCCCGCCCCGCCACCGGGGAAACTCCAATTCCCGGCTCACCACCGGCCCCCTCTCCCCGCACCCACCCCCAGGCGGGACGAAATCTAGTCCCTTCCCGAACGCACCTTCAGCCTTAGGTCCACCGGACAGAGGAGCCCCCTCCCACTCCAGCCCTGCTCCCCCATACCGCCTCACCCATAACCTCGTGCATAAACTGAGCTCTGCTCCTCGCCCCCAACGTTGGCCCCCTCGTCCAGACAACAGAGCTCAGCTCCCCTAACAGCCCCGGTGCACTTCAGCTCCGCCCCGGGTTCGAGCACTGCCGCCTCCCGACCAGGTCAGAGTCCAGCTCTAGTGCTCCGACCCCCACTCGCACCCCGATCCCGTCCCAGTCCCTTCGTGGGGTGGTCAAGGCATCTATCGGTCACCCTTTCCCTTCGGAGTCCGAGTCTAGCCGAACGCCCGCCCCTCACCCACCCAGGCTAGACTGAGCTGAGCCATCGCCGCCACCCACTCAGCCACCCCCAGCCCGGTCGCCCCTCACCCACTCCGACTGGACAGAGCTACGCGCGGGGCCGGATACGCCGCGCCTCGCAGGGAGGCAGACACTGGGCTGCCGGAGCAGGAATGGCGCGGCGGGGGCGGGCAGCAGCGAGCGGAGCGCAGCGGGGATGCGGCAGCCGTGGTACCCGAGCGGGCCCGCAGCGGGTGCTCCGCCCGCCAGCCAGCCAGGTCCCCGCCCGGCGGGCGAAGCCGCGGCCCCGAGCGCCGCCATTGGCCGGTTGGGCGCTGGCGACCACACGCCCAGCCCAGCCTCTTTTGCCTCGGAGATAAACTCTACAGGAAGCTGCCCTCTTCTCTGCATCCCACGGTCCCCGTGGCATTCCAAGCCAATGTCATCTCTGGCCTCCATACTTTCACCAGTTTACTGAGGGATCTTGCTAAGACTCACCTTGTTCCCTCCAAACCATCTTCCACCCGGCAGTCCTGCAATATAAAGTCCCAACCGCTCAGTTTAGCCTTTATCTGCCGTGGTTGACTCTCTTCTCCAGCCAAGAAAACCCACTTGTAGCTCACTGAACGGATCGCAAGAATGTCACAGGCTCCTTGAGGGTGCAGAGTGCTTAGGACCAGATCTGCATCCAGACTGCCTGCTTTGAAGCCCAGCTCTCCTTCTAACTCCCTTCCCAACCTAGGCGTTACCAGATTTGTTTGTGCTCCAGTTTCCCCAAATGTAAAACGGAAGTTACAGTGACATGCCTATCTGCTAGTTAATAAGCATAACGCAGGGACTTCTACAAGGTGCATGGTAAGTGGGGTATAAAAATTAATGGTGGTTCAGTGGTGGAATTCTCACCTTCCACGCCAAGACTTTCCCTGGTTAGATTCCTGACCGATGGACCTCATGCGCAACTTGTCAGCGGAGGCTTGTTTGTTGCTATAGTGTGGAACAGTTTCAGTGGAGCTTCCAGACTAAGACAGACTAGGCAGAAAGAGCTGGCAATCTACTTCTGAAAATCAGCCAGTGAAAATCTGTGAAACCCTGTGGCTCACCACCATCACCAATCAAAGCACCTAACAACATCTCGATGACAAGAGGAACATTTTTTTTTTTTACTTACAGTAGTCTCCCCAGTGTCTCTGGTGGCGTAGTGCCTAAGACATTTGACTGCTACCCAGAAAGTTGGTGGTTCAAACCCACCAGCTGCTCTGTGGAAGAAAGATGGAGCAATCTATGTCTGTAAAGATTTAACACCTTGGAAGCCCAATGAGGGTTGCTTTGAGTTGGAATCGACTTGATGGCAGGTTTGGTTTAAGCCCTAGTGTCTAAAACAAGGGACATTCATGTATTATTTTAATAATTTAAGGTATGATTGACTCGCGTATTTTTAAAATAAGCTAGTGTTTTCTCACTAAACACTAGTTTAGTTTAGTTTTGGGAGCTCTGGTAGAGTAGTGCCTAAGGCACTTGACTGCTAACCAGAAGGCTGGCGATTCAAACCCACCAGCCACTCCTCAGAAGGAAGATGGGGCAATCTACTTCCATAGTGATACTGCCTGGGAAACCCCAAGGAGGGGTCACTATGAGTCAGGTCGGACTCCAGGGCACATAACAATAACAAAATAACAAGTGTTTTCTCAAGTTTCCTCCTCTTTCTGTCAGGATAGTCCTCCCTCTTCCTCTTGGCTTAACGAACTCCTCCCCATCTTTCAAGACTCAGGGTCTCTCCTGACCTCTCCCACCCTCCTCTAAATCTCTTCTCTAGGCTCCTTAGCACCATATGCTCCCCCGTCACAGCTCTGACTTGCCATGTCTGTCTGTTCACTGGGCCATTTGCCCCAGAGAGCAGGAGCTCCTAGGAGGCATACATGGACTTACTCACCTTGGACCAGCAGGACCTCCACTACATACAATACATACTTGGTCCCTGAGAAATGGACATGCTGAGCATTGTATCACTATCTACCACTGAGCACTGTGTATGTGCCAGGCACAAATATGAACTCACTTAATTTTCAAACAACCCTCTGAGGTTGGTACTACTACTTTTATACCCATTTTACAAATGAGGTATGTTTCCCACGGCCACATAGCTAGTACACTAGGGATTGAACTGGGAAGTGAATCCAGGAATCTGCCTCCAGGGCTTTCACCTTAACTGCCGTGCTTGTCTGCTACAGTCCTGGCTGGAAAGTATTAGTGCAGATTTGGGAGTGTGGGATGTGTGATTTCTGCTCCTCACATATTTGGGGCCTTGTCGGCATCAGTCACTGTGTTCACCACAACCTTGTGAGAGAGATGCCATCACCCCATTGCATAAGTGAGGGTATGGAGACTCAGAGAAGTTAAGCAGTCAGCTCAAAGCCAGAAAGCAAGAACATGGGAGATCTGGAAGCACTCTGGGTGTGTCTGACTCTCAGACTCGTGCCCTTAACTTTGTTGTTGTTGCGGTCATGTACTCCTTCACAAATGTCTTTCTTTGCCGAACTCCCCAACTTGCTGTTTATCACCAAGATGTCATTCTTGACACTTTCTCTTCAACTTCTGAGCCTCCATATGGAGCCCTCCCGAGTTCTAGGGAAAACTCCTTTCCCCAAAACATCTCCTGCTCTAGCTTCTGAATATTGGGTGACCCAGGGAGTGTCTGAGGCCATGCAAGGACAAGAGCTGAATCTCCAGACACCCACCTTGCCACTAGGAAGAAACTAATGCAGAACTGGTGGGTGCTGCCAGTGGGCACTTTTGAGATTGGGTCAGGAGTTGCAGTGGTGTAGGTTTACAGAAAAAAAAAAATCTCTTTCAGTTCTCCATGTTGCTGGTATAAGAGCCAGGGAACTTCCCTTCATAAGACGTCTTCTGCCTTAGGTCTTTTGCCAGAAGTCCAGAGGTCTCAACTTTCAGCCTGAACTTGTGTATATATATATAAAAAACTATTGTTGTATCGCCCCAGTGTCAGGAGAAGGACTATGTGTTTTCTCATATGGGGTCTAAATGCACTCCCAAATGGTAGGAGTGTATTAATAGTTCCATTATTAAGTGAAACTATCCAAAACACAAACAAGAAAACCCATAAAGAAAAAAGTAAAAAAATTATATTGTTGTATGCCGTTCAGTCAATTTGGAGTCTAGCAACTCTGTAAGACAGAGTAGAATTGTCCCATTCCTAGGCTGTAATCTTTATGGAAGCAGATCTCTGGGTCTTTTCAATCCCACAAAGCTGCTAGTGGGTTTGAACCACTGACCTTTCTGTTAGCAGCCAAACACTGAACCTTTGTACAACCAGTGCTCCTTCAAGAAAATCTACAGACCTCAAATATAAGTTCCCAATCCTATTACTACCCAGAGGCATTGCATTCACAGGCAATAAGAAAAGGCACCTGGACCAGCAGCAGAGATGGGCCCTGTTCTGGTTACCTAGTACTGCTCTGACAAGAATATACCACAAATGGGATGGCCTTAACAAACAGGAGTTTATTCTCTTACAGTTTGGAGGCTTTAAGTCCAAGTTCCAAGTGCCAGGCTCTAGGGGCTAGGTGAAAGCCCCTCAACCTTGGGTCCAGCTCTGCCTTTTGCTCCCAGTCCACTGGAGCTAGAGGCATTTCTTCAGCTGCTGGCTGCTGAGGCTGACAAGCCCAAGGTTGACAAGTAAAAAGGCACAGTCCCGATGTTACCAAACCACATGGCAGGCTGTTAATTCAAGTCCATTGAAAGTCCCAAGGTTGGCAGAGCAGGGCAGGCTGCTAAACAACAACACAGCTATATACAGGGTCCAAGCGTGTCCCAAGGCTTCTCCTTATATACAGGAAACCACATTCCCTAAGGCAGCTCCTCAGCTGCTCCCAGTAGATTCCACCATGGAGTTGATTATCAGTCTTATCATGAGGGATACTATATCCAGCTGCCCAACCACTCAACTAGGCCCAGCCAAGTTGACACACAAAGTGAACTACCACAGGCCCCAGCCACATCTAGACATTGTCTGGGCTCTAAGGAGCCTAAGAGTAGGGGAGAGGAAGCCCTGTGGATTTGAGGCCTGACTTGGAGAAAGGTTCAGAGTCTAGATGACAATTGGAGGCCTAGGGACACACACAGCAGTCACAGACATCCCAAGTTGTCCAGTTCAATTATCTTTGGGATAAACCTTCTAAAATGTCACCACTTCCATTATATCCCTGGCCTAAGATATCTATCCACTGGGAACATTTGTTTTTTTCTTTTAGGCTATTGGAAGCACTTTCTGGAATTAGTTATAATTTGGAAATATTCAGTTCTTACATTTTCTCTGTGAGGGACCTACGGAGTCATAAGCTGGAGTCTCATTTCATGGTTGAGGAAGTGCCAGTAGAGAGGTTGTAACTTGCTGAAAATTGCCTAGGAAGTGAGCAGCCATACTTCAATACTCCCTCTAGCTGTGCACACTCCAGAAACTCGTGGCCGTGTAAGGACACCCTATACAGACATTTATTGAAGCAATATTTATGATAGCAAAAATGTGGAAACCACTTATCAGTATTCTTCAGCAGGACACCCAATAGACTGGGGTTTATCCAAACCATAGAATTCTGTGCAGCAGCTAAAGTAATGAATAATATTTATGGGTATCAGCACAGCTAAATCTCCAAAGCACACCTTGGAGTGGAAAAGACAATTTGCAAAAGGATACAAACAGAATAGTACGTTTATGTAGATTTTAAAAACACTAAACAACGGTATGGGTTGTTTATGGATGCTACAAAAATTGTAAAAAATACAGAAATGTTCAGAGCTGCCTCTGAGGTGGGAGGCAGGGAGAGGAGATGGGAGATGTCTTTGGTGGTATTTATAACATTTTATTTCTTTATGAAAGAGAATGTACCAGGAGGAAATCTGAAACAAATGTGTCCAAATATTAACATCTGTTTAATCATAGCAGTTGTGGGTATAGGGGTGTGTCTGTTGGGTTATTTTTGGCATATTGAATAGAACTGAAGAAAAAGAAACAATCTTACAGCCAAGCACACTTTTCTTACTTCTGTTCCCAACAGAAATGTTAACCTCCCCAAGGCCCAGCAGCTGCTGCTCTTAGTGTGAAG